TTTGTGAGTTTTTCTCTGTACTTTATGAATATAGTACATAAAGTTGGTGTACATAGTACACCAAGTGGATGGTGATGTAGGTGTTGCCCTGTGGTCCCTTTCTTCTGCTTCTCCGTCCATTTCTGTCCTCTTTGTTCTTTCTATTTTCTTGTAAGAGAAAATAGCCCAGGAAACTTGTCAATGGTCATACCGTCTGGGAAATTCTAGAATTCTTTGCTAGAATCCCCTGGATGCTGCAGTTCCTGGCCATAAGCATCATTGCTTGGGGTGGGAGTTTTTATAGTACTCTAGGCAGTGACTAACTATGGTTGATAGTAGAAAACAAAGGGTAAATTTTGCTTTGTTTTGTTCTTCTGCGTTTGTGTAGCTCAAAGAACCAGTGTTCCCTTTGGTTGGTGGTCTGCAGGTGTTATCCTTAGCAGGCACTCATCTGAAAGTCCTTCTCTGCCAATATATATTCTTTGATAAATAAAAGAACGTATTTCCAGTCCTTCCAGTCCCTCCGCCTTCTAAAATGATTATCAGGTGACACAGGAACACTTACCCATGGGTTGCCCTTTTGGGATTACCTGTTTTCTAGATAGAATCCCTTTCCATTCATCACTGTCTTTTATGTTAATATGTCATGTATGTTAACATATATGGGGACTTGTAGATGCTTTGACTCTTTTTGTGGATCAGTTTGATTTAAATAAGAGGTAAAGTGAATTTGTAATTAAACTTGTCTGTTAGGGTTTGTTTGGAAATGAAACTGCCTCTATGATAAATTGATTGCAGTTATTCACAGAACATCTAGTTCTCACCAAGAAGCCTCTCTGGCTAAGGGTGGTAGTGTAGACCCCTTATCTATCCCAGCACGATGATGGAGGTCAAAGCAGAAGAATCATGGGTTTAAGGACAGCCTGGGTTGTATAAGGAGACCTTGTCTTAACTACCTCACCCCCAAAGAATACAACCAAATGGAAAAAAATCAATCCACTCCCTCTTCTTAAGACAGGGTCTTTCTCTGTAGCTTAGGCTGGCTGAGGACTTGTGTGGTCCACACTAACTTTGTACTTGTAACCATCCTGCTCTACCTTCCAAGCTGAAGGCTTGTGCTACAATGCCCAGCTATTATAATACTTCTTTAAAAAGACAACCGGGGCGGCGGGGGGGGGGGGGGGGGTTATCCCTTTGGTTCTTTGAGCTTGGGAACCCTAGAAGAACAAAGCGAAGTGAACCATACCCCATGTTTTCCACTTGAGAAACATCTTTTTAGTAGCTGATAATATCCCAAAGGTGTTTTTTTCCCCAGAGTTTCTGTTATGAAAGTTTTAAAGAACAGGTTGAAAAACAGAGCAGGACATCTGACCCCATTGTTGTCTTGCTTTGGGAAAGCCAGCATAAGATTGTAATGCCTTCTGGTTTAGCACAGTCAGTGCTGTAATAACAGAATCTTTACAAGTTAAATTAATGATGAATATCTGTTCTTGTTTTCCCTTTGTTTCAGGTTTCCCCTCAAAAAACCTATAAGGTAAGTTGTTCATTTACTTTTATACGGAAGTTGGAGTTAGACTTTAATTAGAAGCATTCCTTTGAAATTATGGGGATTTTTGTGGTTTTTGAGAGCCTGGATTTAAGTAGTACAAACTTTCATAATGCTTCACAGATTTCAAATACAACAGGTGTTGCATATTTTTCCTGGAACACAGCCTTGTTTTGATAATATTTTCTGTGTTTTTAATGTAAGCATTTTAAAAGTTTATTCAAATTGACACTTTAAGGTCACTCCCTATGAAGAAATTTAATTTTAAAACCCGTGACTGTTTTGAATTGTGAGTTGCGTGGGGAGGTGAAAATGGATTGCTAGTTTGGGTATGTGTTGTCACTTGAGTGCCTGTTACTTCCTGTAATGAACTTTGGCACTGATTTAGTTTTAATTACTTTAAGACAATAATGGGAAAAATGTTGAAAAGACTCAGGTTTGTCTGTGCCTGTGTCTATCACATACATTTTGAGACTTCCCAGCACTTGTGCTTTAACGTCTTTTATTCTCTCACCTTCATTATCATGAGTATTTTTAAAAATATTGGTAAGATACCATTCCTAGTAATTCTAACCTTTCAGTTAGCTAGAAGTATGTGTACCATAGGTTATTTTTTCTTCTTTTTTAATTGCCTAACCATCATCTGATGCTTGCAATTGTTTAAGTTATAGTAAAAACAATAGTTCTGGTGTCATCTTGGGCCCAAGGGCAGTTGGCTAAGGCTTCAGGCCTGTGGCGGAAGGGTTGAAGTGAGCCTTGCCTGATGTAGGTTTGTTTTTATAAATTGTTTTTACTTTTGTAAATATTCTATATTCTGACTGTAGGATGAACTGTAAAAATTAGTAAACTATAGGCTGTTATTTTTGAGAATAAAATTAACTTTAATAATAAATACTACTTTTATTGCTTGAGGACCTTTTATAACAAAGAAAATAGATTGTGTGGTATATTTTGCATAAGTTGAATTTTAAAGCTCTTTGAAAAAGTTTTTTTGTTTGGAGCCTGGGAAGATAGCTCAGTGATTAAATGGACTTGCTGCTCTTGTAGAGGACCAGAGTTTGGTCTCTATCACCCACATTGGGCAGTTCACAATCTCCTGTAGTACCAATTGCAAGGGACCTTATACTTTCTTCTGACTTACTGGGTACCTACACACACACACACACCATAAAAAGATGCATTTGTGTAATTTTTATGTGAAGTTTTATTGTTATGCTTTATTTTACAGTAAATATTTGATTGTTTTAACTTAGGCACGGAAGTATTTTGAACCGAGAGTCACCAACAGATAAGAAACAGAAAGTTGAACGCAGTACATCACATGATTTTGACCCCACAGGTAAAAATACTCTTGTTTTCCCAAAGAATGTTTTGAGAATAGTGAAGCTCAGAATCATACAACCTAAGGGAACTGAAGCACTCAGGTGTGGTTATTCCTACCCCTTGGTCCTGCCCTGCAGTTGTGTCATAGTGCTTCGATCAGCAGGAATGCATGATGCGGAACTCAGCATTGTAGACACCATAGCGGAAGGGGAAGAAGCATCATTGTAGGAATCATGATAGTCGTAGAAATAGTGGTGCACACTGAGGTCTTCAAATCAAGATGAGTCATGTGTGAGTACTAGTGTGCCATAAAATGAAGGCTATTAACCACTGGGAACTTGTCCATTCACTTAAAACTCAGCTGTGATTGTTGTGAATTAATTAATTAGCTGCTGTGCAACTTGAAAAATTTATAATTCAGCAAATGAATAGAAATCTCCTTATTTCATCTTCCCTACCTACCACTCTTTCTTTCTCTTTCTTTCTTTTCTTTCTTTCTTTCTTTCTTTCTTCCTTTCTTTCTTTTTTGTATGTTTTGTTTTTGTTTTTTGAGACTGGGTTTCTTTGTGTATCTCTGATTGACCTGGAACTCTCTCTGTAGACTAGGCTGGCCTCGAACTCAGAAATCCACCTCACCTGCCTTAAGTGCTGGAATTAAAGGTGTATGCCACCGCTGCTTGGCTTGTGATTTTCTTTTCTTTCTTCCTTTTTTTTTTTTTTTTTTTTTTAGACAGGGTTTTTTTTTGTTTTTTTTGAGACAGGGTTTCTCTGTGTATCTTTGGAGCCTGGCCTGGAACTCGCTGTATAGCCCAGTCGGGCCTCAAACGCATAGAGATCAACCCTCCTCTGCCTCCCAAGTGCTGGGATTCAAGGCATGCACCACCATGGCCCAACCCATAATTTATATTCTTAATGCTATACACGAGATTGAATTCTGTTGCCCTTTCCTTTCTCCATATAATCTCAGTGTTTGCATTTTCTATTTGAAATTTACATGTTCTTTGAATGTGTATTATTTTATTTAGTTGTGTGTCCCTGTGGCAAAAGATAAACATTGCACCAGTCTGAGATGCATAAATATGTTTCTTAAAAGAATTTTTACTATCTCCAGGCATGGTGTTACATGCCTTTAATCTCAGTACTTGGGAGGCAGAGGCAGGTGGATCTCTGTAATTTGAGGCCAGCCTGGCCTATAAAGCAGGTTCTATACAGAGAAACCCCTGTGTCAAAAATACAAAAAAATTTTTTTAACTTAGAAATATAATTTTAGATACTTAATAGTGTTAGTGTTTTGTTTGAATAATTGAAATGTAACATATATCTTAGGATAGCTTTCTTATTTTGAAAAAAATTTGTAAGCATTTATCTTAGAAGGGAAAGCTAAGAAGTAAGTAATGAATAATTTGCTTTTCATCTTGGGTAGCAGTAAAGAAATTAACAGTTAGTTTAGGTGGCTTTGGTAGTGGGAGTAGTAACATGTCAGAGATCTCTATGAAAGCTCTGCACTTATGATGCCTGGGTTCCAGTCATGAGCTCAGAGACTTTTAGTTAGTTCTATAGCTAGTTATTGCCTTTAATAATGGTCACAAGTTTCTTCTCCATGTTCAGGAAAATGCCAGGATCTTTTTAGTCTTGTTAGACATATTCTGTACGCTTGTCTGTGAGGTGCCCATTTCCAAAGGCAGATCTCTCAGAGACATATCATACTTCATGGTGAGCCAAATGTAGCTTGAAATGCTTTTTTCATCTCTATAGTTACCAGATGATACATGGTGTAGACTATTCACGTGTTGCTGTGTTTGTATTTTTTATTCACTGTCTTTTCTTCCATAATCTGTAAATATGTCATTACCTGTGCTGTTCATGACTGACTATTCTAAGTGCTATCACCTGTGATGTTCATACTTCATGTTTGCACGATTTAACTTGATCATGACTCGTTCTTTTATCGCCCATGAAGTTTCCCCCTTCCATTGGTCTCCATATTTTCTATATCTCTCCTTTTCTCCCGCTCTTGTGCAGATAGCTCCTCCAAGAAGACAAAGGCTAGTTCAGAGGAGAGTAGATCCGAGATCTATGGTAAGCTGATGTAGCTAATGCGGTCTTGCAACTTTGCAGCTTGCTTCATGCTGTCTCATTTTGTTTTTGGTAACTGCAGCCTTTCTTGTCTGCTCTGCATGGCATGATCTTCTGCAGGGAAAGGGAACCTGGGGTTTGATGTGGCTGTGATATGGAAGCTTAAGATGACTAGAAACTAACGTTGATAGGTTGAGAATAGGCCATGTTACCCATTTCCTCCTTGTTTATCTTAGGAAAATGGGGTCAGGCGCCTCTGAATAGCATGGATGGGTTTTGAATTATTGCCAACCTCTTCTGGTCTCATTCACAGGTTTTGAATTATGTAGAATTGAAGCAGCTCAGTCATTTCTTATAAGAAGAGTTCTGACATCATTTAAATATGTTAGCAGTTCTTTGAAGTTTTTGTTTTATCTTTCATTTATAATTTTTAAAAAATCATTTAAAATTTTAAATCAATTGAAGAGTCATTCTTAATAAATGTATCCCTAATTGCAAAAATTTTTAAGTGTTTTAATTTCAGGCTTAAAACATTTGTGCCTTCTGGAAGTTTCCCTGAAACTTACTCTGAATAGGAAAACTTCAAAGTACCTTTATAAAGAGTAACTCTAATATGAATGATGATCAGATACACAATGAAAATACGAGTGTTTCCAGACACTGTCCTGCTGTCCTAAATACAACAAAGTGTTATGGATGGCATTCACATAGATTTTTCCTCTTTGTTTTTTGAAGCTTTTTGGAGCATGGTTTCACTGTGCAGCTGCAAGCTTTCCTGGAACACACTTTGTGGTTCAGTTGACCTCAAACTTGCAGTGTCCTCCTGCCTCTACTTCCCGAGTGCTGGGATGATATGCCTGCACCAGCACACATTACTATATAGTTAGGTTATTAAGGAAAGCGAGTAGGTAAGGCATGGCCTGGAACCAGACTCCAAAAATCTTCATTGGAAGAATAAGCAAAGTCTTCTTTAACAGAGCCAAGGTCTGTCAAGTGGAAGTTTACCCAGGTGTATTTGTTTCTTACTTGGCCCTCTATGAGGTGAGAAATGTATGGAATTAATCGTCCATGCTTCCTTGAGAACATTTGGCAGTTGATGCCTGCTGGCATCTGATAGGCCTTAGTGCTGTGAAGCCTTAGTGTTTGGTTCTCAAGCAGTTAGTGCTTTATGTCAGGTACATGCTCATACGTTTTTTTCTATTGTGTAGTTCAAAAGGAAATGTTTGCCAGGCATGTTGAGTTTATGCTTTTCTTTCCTCCAAAGTAGTTTTCAATATTCTGTGTTTCTAGTGTAAGTAAGGCCCTTCCAGTATTTTTTCTTTGCTGAGGAATGTGAACATTATCTTTGTTCCTCCATTCTTCCAGCAGTCTTTCCAGGGTTACGGTTCACTTTTTTCACCATTTTTCTAGGTCTCTGCTGTGTGTGTAGGAGCTTGTTTATGTTGGGTAAGGATTAATGATTTAGGAGTCTGACAGAAAATATTGTACTAATAATTTTCTTAGAGTGATAGGAGTTTTATACTGGTCCAGACATGCCATTTGGCTCTATGGAACAGAAGCATTTTAAGTGGCGCTCAGGAGGTAGGGTGTGGCTTCTTAGTGAATTTGTCTCTCCAGAACCCTTGAAATTCCTTTTTTTTTTTTTTTTTGATTGTTATTGGAGGAATTGAACTATGTCTCCTCAATAAACACTCATTAGAGGGATGAGTTAACTAAGACAGCTAGCATGCGGACATTGTGAATGTGATGTGTGGAGAGGCTGCTTTACTGCAGTTAGCTTAGATGAAGAGAACACTCTAGGTAGTCAAGGAAAGCTTGGAAATAAAATGTGACTGAGTAGAGTCCTAGCAACCAGGGACGTTCTGCTCAGTGACGGTCTTGTTATAAGTGCACTTGAAGCTGTGGGGAGTGTCCATTCTTTTCCCGGGATCAAATTCTTTAGTTGGCTGCTCTGTACAGATGTCACTCATCATTTCAAACTCACTTTGCCATTCTTAGAGCTGCTTTGGGGTTAGATTGACTTTGCCCATTTGAAGAGAAAAGCAAACATAAAACTTGAGTGTAGCCGGGTCAACATTCTATTTGTCTCCTATCCCTTTTGGAGTCTATTGCATATATATGGATATATTTTCTGAAGTGTAATTTTAATGTGGCCAATTTTCTATTATATATAGATTTTTTTTGGAGACAGGTGCTCATATAGCTCTATATGGCCTTCAATTCCTGATCTCTGCCTCTACCTCTTGAGTGCTGGGCTTATAGGTATATACCACCATGGCTAGGTTGTTAGATGGTCTTGCTATGTGACTCTGCCTGGCCTTGAACTCAGTATGTAGTCCAGATTGGCTTTAAACTAAACACAACTTCTTGAGTATTGGGATTATAGGCATATCTCTAATACTATAATGAAGAACTTTGTGGGTTACTGTGGGGTATGAGAGAATCTGTGTGAGAATAAGCCATGTCTCTTAAAAGCCATCTTAGCACACTAGGGCTGCTATATCAAAGTACCATAGTCTGTGTGGCTTAGAGAATAGAAATTTTATTTTCCTAGAGTTGTAGAAGCTGGAAGTTGATATATAATTGCTGTTATAGTCTTGTGAGGTTACAGATGGCTGCTTTCTCACTCGCCCTTCACATGGCCTACTGGAGAGAGACTCAGATTCTGGTGTCTCTTTCTCATTCTGTCATGAGACTCTCACCCTCATTGTCTCCTCTAATTCTACATATCTTTGAATGCCTGCCTGCAGATACTATCACATTAGGTAGGGAAGCAACATAGGTTTTGGGAGGAGACAAATATTTACACCATACTAGAAGCAAACTGTTAGCACACATATCCCTTACCTAATGTGCTTGCTACCAGATGTGTTTTGGATTTTGAAATACTTGCATATTTACCGTGGATTTGTAGAGGTGGAATCAGAGTCCTGACATTAGCTTTGCTCATATTTCATACATAATATATATGCTAAATATACATAGTCTGAAGGTAATTATTTTTAATAATTTTGAGTCTGATTGAGATTTACCATGTGTAGTTAATGTGGGGCTTTCCACTGTGACATTATGCGGGCATTAAAGATGTTTCCAATTTTGGAATATTTTAGAATTCAAATTTTTGAATTACGAATCATCAACCTGTACTTGGATATGGTTTGTGTATTTCAGAGAGTAATTTTTAAATATATTGCATTTCTCTCATTTAAGTTTCTCATATCTTTAAAAGGAGAGCTCTTGGTTTGACTCTTGCTCCCACCAACTTAATATTTTCTCTGTCCTTCAGCTTTGCAAAGAGCATTCTATGTGAACTTTCTATGTTTTCATAACTCATTCTTTTACTCTTTTCCCTTTTTACTTGAAATCTTACTTCTGAACTCATACTGTCTTAAAGGTGAATCAAAATATCCTGTTTGAGAACCTGTTAGCATTGTCTGTATTCACACCTTTTCTGAACTACCCGGCAGGGCAGATACCTTTTCTTGTTTCTGTAACATTTCTTAGATCTGATTCTTTTCTCTTTGTTGTTGGGTTGTCTGTTTATTTGATTGGCAGCTCATTTTAACCCTATAGGTTTTTGTATATGTGTGCATGTGTGTTTGTGCCTCTGTTCCTGTGTGTGTATACGCATATGTAATTTGTGCCTGTGCTTCTGTGTATGTGCACATGTGTGTTCATCATGTGTGTTTGTGTCTGTGCTCTTGTGTGTGTGTGTGTATGTGTTTGTGCCTGTGTTCCTGTGTGTGTATATGTATGTATACATGTGTTTGTGTGCGTTCTTCTGTGTGTGCACATGTGGATGTTGGGTGTCTTCTTTGATTTTTCACCTTAGTTTTTTGAGACATGGTCTCACTGAACCTGGAGCTCACCAACTCAGGTAGGCTGGTTGGCTAAGCAAGCCCTATGGATCCTCTTGACTATCTCCCAGCACTGGGTTACTGATATGCACCATAGTCCTTGTTCAGCTTTTATGTTGGTGTTAGGGATCAAATTCAAGTACCCATGCTTGCATGGCAAGTACTTTATCGCCTGAGTCCTATTCCCAGCCCAGTTTAGGTTTTTTTGAGATAAGGTCTTGCTATGTAGCCCAGGCTGGTCCAGAGTTTACAGTCATCTTGTCTCTGTGTCCAGTGCTGGGATAATAGACATCTCCCTCCCTCCCTCCTTCCCTCCTTCCCTCCCTTCTTCCCTCTAAGAGAGTCTCATATAGTCTAGACTGCCTTCAAACTCTCTAGATAGCTAAAGATGACTTTGAATTCCTTAACTTCCCACTTCCTCCTCTCAAGTGATAAGATTAAAGATATGCACCGTCTACATAGCCTAGTCTTTGTCACAGTCTTTTATACCTTCTTTAGTGTTTACCTTGCCATTAAACTATTTTAATAGATTCATAACTTTGGGATTGTTTTGTTTTGTTTTGTTTTTGTCTCAAGACAGGGTTTCTCTGTGTATCCCTGGCTGTCCTGGAACTCACTCTATAGACCTAGCTTAGTGTCACACTCAGATCTTCCTGCCTCTGCCTTTCAAGTGCTAGGATTCATAACTTTGTACACTTCAATTTCATGTTGATTTTATAGTCTGTTTTGACCTGTCAAATTAATATTACTAAAATAATGGGTTTGGTTATTCACTAGCTAGGAAAGCACAGATAAGTACTAATATATACTGTACATTATTTCCAGTTTATCATTCTGCCCTAATCTTCTGTTCATCTCAGAGTACCAGGCTGCTTCTAGTTGTTTATTCCCCAAGTATTTCCTGGTCTTCTTGCTTTGCTCGGTGCAACTCCTGTTGTCTTGAGTGCTTAGTTTTCTTTCTGCAGTTTTCAATGCTGTCTATTCTCTAAGACTCAGTTCGGGCACTGATACATCATTATCATGCAGTTAAATATGAGGAATAAGTTCAAGATAGTTTTTGTCCCTCATGCCTTAAAAGGATGTGTTATATTCTTGAGCTGTAAAAAGAGTGAATTAAGTATTTTTACCAGAATAGTAAGTACCACATGAAGGAAATTTTTGATTAGTTAGCTACATTTAGCCATTCTGCAATGTGTATGTACTTCAGAACATTATATCA